TGAATTGTTCCGAAAAATATAGTTCTCCTAACCCTAGTGATTCTTTTTCGCTTCGGACTTTTTTTTTTTTTTTGACGTGCCATGTCTATATTGCTCGTAATTGTCTTGACAGTTCAGAACCATACTATAGTTGCCGGATGGCCAAGATCTTAAGCCGTTTTTAGGATGATTAAGTTAAATAAAATTTGTGAATTTGGCATGCAGATTATTTMTGTAGCACGATATTGGAAATGTAGATTAATGTTTTATATTAATCATTAAGTTCTTAAAAGAATCAATGTCGACCATGTAAGGATGTCTGTGTAAAGTATTCTGACACAGGAAGTCCAAATCATAATTCCAAGATCGAAGAAACGTCCAAAATGCGAAGCAAGCAGACTGAGATTACGACGACTTAGCAAGACATCCAATTCTACCCTGACAACTGATGGGAATTGTCTAGACAATGTAAACACCATATAAAGTTTTATGTACTCCTTCTTTTAGGGACGACCGGTTCACACTACAACATAATCATTAGCAGAAACAGAAGCTGTGTGAAGGATGAGCTTATGTCTATGTTTTTCGCCGGTTCGCAGTCTTGGTTTTTAACACAATCACAAGCAGAAACATAAGGAAATAAAAATGTTTTATCTTTTTCCCTGATAACACAATAATAACATAATGCTTCTTCCTCTGCTTGTGGCGTTACCGTCCCTTACGCTGTGCTTCGGTTCGAGTGCCTTCACGATGAAAAGTTTTCCTTACAATTTTAACTGAATTAAACTGCAAGCAAGAATGAATTTAGGCGTCACGTGACACTGTACGTGTAGCGAAACGATCCGGTTTGAAATGAGCCTGGAATGTCCTCTAGGTTGATAGCCCGTTGCGAGATCCTCTAACAAGTTTTTAACTACGTGGTACGACTGACACGCATGAATATTATAGCCTGAAACTCTTTCCTCGTCTTGATTTCCGATTCCTGTGATAGAAAACGGTCTCGCAAAACAGGTTTCAAGCGGCGAAAATAAGTAGGTGACCGATTTACCGATCTCTCTTGAAACTCCTCTTGAAATCAAATAGAAAAGCCGCGATAAGCCACTCATAGCTCGGTATATACGATTAGTGTATATGATTAAAGTTTAATTTACCAATGTAACAGTAACTATAGTGGCCCAAGAACTGACTTTTTTGCGTCTTTTTTTTCCGTGAGTCGGAGTATATTGGCTCAAGTTCCTAGACGACTAGACGCACTCGAACATTAATAAAAAAACAGCCCTACTATAGAGGAAGCCCGCACGGCTATGTATGAGGCTTTACATAGTTTTAAATCGCAAGTAATTAATTCTTAGGTTATCAGGTTATGAAAAAAGCAAAAAGTCAAAACATTTCTCGCCCTAGGGGCGTTTAGAACCGACACCGATTCACTAATTTCAAAGTATGAGTCACAGGTAATTATCGTAAAAATCGATTTAGCGGTATAGAGCCACTTATAATTTTTGAAAACTGATTCTTTAAAAAGCGTTGAAGAGGATACAAAGTGATAGGGAATGGAAGATGTTTTTCAGCAGTGATTTTTYAAATGGTTATTGCAAAATTGACTTGTTTTTYTGTAGCACAGCATCAGTAAARTCAWCACAGCAAGACCYCAAGACAAGAATCAAAGTCCCAACTGTTATTCTTAAGAACAAGCGSTCCAATTTAGTTTAAATGCAAAAACAAAAGCAATTACAACGAAATTTAAGTGTTTAATAATCCCAACTAAATGATTTTAAGAATGAAAATAGCTATTATCAAAAACTGGTATTGTTTTTCAACTGCTCACGTTTAGTGAATTTTTGATTGTTTTTCACTGCTACCTCTAATTTGATTGTACTCTCTGATAAACAAAGCGTCAATAGGTCTCCAATAATGCTAGATTTAGCCAAAAAAGACTTTTGAATTGAGATTTTTAAGGACAAAACACGATGAATACAGCAAATGTCTCGGATTCGCGGACAAGGTTTAACTAGACCTTTCATGTGTTGCAAAAATGACGCGACAGCTTACGGTGAACAAACAGGGGCGATGTTTCATTTGTAATAAATAGCAATACACTTCGGCCATCACCATGACCTAAATATTGTCATTAGTGGCTTCAAAACACAAAGAAAATAGTTGAAGTTAAGTTATCATTAATAGTAGCAGGAGTCCCAAGAATTTTCAACTGACAACATCAGAGGCTTACCTTTACGCGGGCTAGTGGTAGAGAACAGTTGATATTATGTCTTGTGTGAGCATGAGCGTAGTTAGCACACATACGGATCTTCCCCTATTTGCATAATTAATCTTTAGTAATGCCACTTTAGAAGCAGTTAAAATCTTGGGGATTATAAAGCCACCGTTTAAATTGAGAGGTTTCAACTGGACCGTCTAATATACGCGATGAAAAATGTCCCAATTAATAATCAATGCCCGTGTTTCTTATAATGTATAGCAGCATGCTGAGAAATAATCCACCATTAACAAATCAGTCAAGAGTATATAACTTTGGTCAAAAGCAAAAGTCGTGACAGTGTTTCCAAATGTCAGTATACATACAACGTCAGCAATAAATATAAGTCAATATAGACTTAGAAATAAGGCTAACATTTGAATAAGAGCGACCCGGTATAAAATTCATTTTTAAAATATAAACTAAAACAAGGAAATGAGTTTTTRAAAATATCAATAAAATTTTCCGGCATAAGATGATGATGAACTTGCAAACATTATGTGAATTTCTTCACAGCCTYGGCTTACATAATTRCAATACTGACGAACAAAGTTGAATTGGATTTGCTTTCAGGCATGGATTGACTGAGAGATGGACGGTTCTCCGTGTCACTAATAATATATTGTATCCAATAATCAAAGCAAATTTTACAATAATATCCATTCCAGATTATTGCTATATATTCTTGTTATATAAACTCCCTAATAAAACCAAATGAACTGAATATGTAAGAATCTAAAGCGAAGTTTATAAAATAAGTACTATATTTCTAAAACTAAATAGTCTCATTTTCATTCGGCATATCATCCCCTCGATGAGTTGTTTACTTTAAAGCACAGTTTGTCAAAAGTCGTTGTCAGGGTGTTAACACAGCCAAATCTCATCATTCTTTTTCAGACGTATAGATTTTGCAACTTTGTCGTTTCCACTGCGTAACCATATTGTACAGGGTCCGGCCCATTAATGGAAAATAGGACCATACGAATCAAATAAACAAAAAGCTCCCGAATATACTTCGGCTATTTGAGTCCACTATGCCAGATTTACTCAAATCTGTTGTTCTTCTCATTATCACCCATTCATAGTTCGCAAGAGAAATTTACTGTATTTACAAGATAGAAAATAGAGCAAATCGCCAGACCAACAAGTCTACATGGATTCCGTTCCTTGCAAGACAAAGTAATGTCAAGAAAGAGTAAAGATAAAAGTACTATTACATTGTAAATCAAATAACAAACCGTGCACAAAGAGTCAATAATCATTAAAATACACTACATTACAATATACAAGACGATTGTCAATCACTCTATTTGTTTTCTTCCAATTTTCATGAGAGTTCCTACATCCACTTGCCATCGAAAACTAATATGAACAGTAAACATTTTAGATTCTTGGCTAATCATATATGTATAGGTAGTTTATGAGCGCTTTCTATACCGAAAAAGATTGAAAACTAAAGTCGATTGTCATGATAGCGTCGATATGCAAAACCGAACGAGTGTGTTGAATTGTTTATAGTGCGCAATGGATCCTCCATCAAAGCATTAAATATATACCGTTATTTTCATTCATAGAAGTCCTTCAGTTAAGTTTTGTCTGTGTTTTTCAGTAAACGATTGAGATATTTTTCCTATCAATATTGAATACCCATAATACCTTTTGGTCGTGATTCTCCAATATGACGTCATCCACTGTTAAAAGGACAGAGGACAATTTTATCCTATGGCTAACTCAATTTCAAGGCAGGATTGGTTCATATCAATAAGGAAAATATATATATTATTTATAGCGGGAGCAATGACACTATTTTGACTTTCAGGAATTTGAAGGAAAAGAAATGTCGCGCTCTAGCTATGCAATCCAATAACATGACCACTATCTAAGTTATGATACGGCTAATACCAAAAATATTATTACCGCCTTCATTCACTGAGTACACGGTGTGCTTCGTTATAAAGTAAATGAGAAATATCAATGATTAATTAAATTGGMAAAACGTTGTTATAAGATTGCATACGATAAGATGTTGTGTGAACAACATCATTTCCTTTCCCTCTTAACAATTTCTTCATTGAACGACCATGGACTCCTCTACGAGATATGTTAAGATGCTATGCACCAGTTTGAATTTTCAGAGTACTCAAAATTAACCTTTCATTTTCGTTAAATACCTTATAACCAACATGGCCGCCATTTTAAATTAGTATTGTATTCTGAACTGCTAAGAAATTCAATTTATCGTAAAATATGAAAACTTTAACACATTGTGGATACATGTTTCAAACAATAATTCACATTTAGAAGCCAATGAAATTACCATAGAAAGTAATGAATTTTTAGATATCGTTCTAATTAAAAATATGCCGTGCAAAAAGTTGCTTTATCCATGAGGAAATCCTATAACTTCGTCTTCATAATTCAATATGGCGGTCGCATTAATATTAATAAGATCTATAAATAGGCCCAGTCCAAGAACCTTCCAAGGAAAAGATATGTTGCTGAGAGTTACTTTCTGGTAGAAAATCAGAGATGTCGATATTTCTTCGTACGTGAAAAAAATCGAGCAAGAGTTCTCGGATCACGTGGTCCTTTAAGTGTAATTAGCCAAAAGTAGAAATATCATTTAACAATCACTTAATAAAATAGCTCTACAACTGATTGAGATAAGATCGATATACTGATGTGTGCAAAAATCGATATCTCGTTGCACGTCAGTTTTCTGAGGTCCCGTGACGGCTAAACGGGGTTACATAACTATAAATTCATTCGTTTCTGTTACTAATAATTCCCAAAATGTTGTACGATTATTAATCCAATCTTGATAACTTCATACCTGTTCRTTTATTTATTCTTTTCCGCTTGTCATTACTTCTGCTGAAAGTCCAGTGCTGTATTTTCATGGCATCGACAGTCTCCAGATGGTCTAACGGTGTCTGTTATTTACGCTCGTGCT